CAATGCATACACCAAAATAAGTTTATACAGATCTAGAGGATTGAAAGGTTTACATGAAGATTAAAATTGATAGGTTACATGAGGTATTTTGTCCAAAGCATCTTTCAGTTATGCATATTTTTACCCATAAGTCAATTTCCTAAAGCATGGAGGGGGGAAACCGTCACATGTTTAGCTCCTCCCAGTTAGATTTTATATATTTGAAGGGAAACCCTTAAATTAATGTTATTTTTCAAAAAAGTCTGGAATCATCACAAATTCTGAAAAGTGAAGGGGGTTCTATGAGCTGGCTCATCCCCCATTCAAAGCTGCTGAAGCCACTCAAGTTGTATGGGGTTATAAATCAGCGCAGAATAGGGATGTAAGGGAGTAATCGACCACCCAATAAAACATATGCTTATTGGGTAGTCAAGTCGACTAATTGCTTTCCCCCATATTGCTGCCCCTGTGCGTGTCTCCACGGTGCAGGGAAGGGCAGGAGGGGGCAGAGTTACAGCATCCCAGAGCTGGCATGACTAAGTCGTCTTGGTTCGTGCTCACCTTGGGAGCTAACCCCACTGCGGTTCTGCATTTTAGAGGCCAGTAGGCTCTTACTACATTTAAAATGCAGAGCCGCAGTGGGAGTAGCTTCCATGGACATTGCAAGCTGGGACTAAGCAGTCCCAGTTCGCACCGGCTCCGGGATGCTGAGGCTTTGCATTTTAAACGTAGTAAGAACCAGGTGGCTCTTACTACATTTAAAATGCAGAGCAGCTGCAGAGTTAGTTCCCAGGGCCAGCGTGAGCCCGGGACTGCTTAGTCCTGGCTCCTACTACATTTAAACTGCAAAGCCACAGCATGGGTAGCGAGCTTCTCTCCCATATCAACTAATTGAGTAGTCGATGGAAATTCTATTGACTACTCAATTAGCTATTAACTGCAATTTAACACCCCTAATGCAGAATTCATTCCACATAGCTTCTGAGCATCACTGCAATTTAACAACTCAAGGATGGAGACTAAAAAACACAGCTCACAGTTTTCCTCCACTTCATTGTGCACTATTTTTATGGCATCCAGGAGCTTGTGGTGATTCTCTGCATTAGTAAACCAAATTTACTTCATTTGCATGTATTTATATATGGCAGGAGGAGAGGTATTGCATAAATGTGAGAGTAGTTGGAAGTTGATATCACTGAGTCAATCTTGCCATTTCATTAAAAAATTTAAAGTGATCTCTGGCACCCAGCTCTAAGCCCCTGGGCATCTTTCTGTTGGTAAGGCTCTAATAATCTTTGCCTTAGAGCTACTGCCTGGTGAAGAGGCAGATGTGCCAGGTGCACATTTGAATGGGGTTTGGTATGCTCTTCCCTTTCGTTCTGTCACCAAAGATGGCTCCCAGGTTGGTGTGATGAGGCTTGAAAATAGCTCCAGAATGTTCGACCAGTAGGATTACCAGGTGTCTGGTATTGAACCGGAGAGCCCGGTATTTGTGCCTTCTGTCCTGCAAAAAAATTCAGAGAATACTGGACGTTTGTTTTTTCTGAGGCCTGGCTCGAGCGCCCAACGTAAGGCCACTTGGGACATGCTGGGGTGGAGGGAGGGGGAAAATGGCCTGGCTGCATTTTGGCCCTGGTCCCCCCAAATTTTCATGCGGCTTTTTTTTTTTTTTTTTTGTTCAACAGAATTTTTGAGGGGGTTAGTTATTTTTTGTGAAACCATCTGGAAACCCTATCTACCAACCATTCCTCAGAGGCTCAGACTTTCAGTTGTAGTAATGGCCATAGAACAGCTCTACTGCCCCTCAGAATGCTGGCGGGAGGTGGGGGAAGGGTGAATATGGTAACCAGATGTCCCAATTTTATAAGGATAGTCCTGATATTGGGGGCTTTGCCTTATGTGCCTATTACCCCCATCCTCTGTCCTGATTTTTCACATTTGCTATCTGATTACCCTAGGAAGGAATCTAGCAACAGTCCAGCATGTGTCTAATTGATTACGCTGGGACATACAATCCAAGATAGTGATATTGTCAAGCTGCAGAGAGCTATAAACTCTGCTCACTTTATGCCTAACCTAAGGAAAAGAAATTTCAGTTTCAGCCTATATATCCATGGAGAGAAAAAAACATGCAAACAAATTAAAATGATCCGTGAACTCGTATAGCCTAATAAAAGCATAGTCAAGGAAATAGACAAAAGACACTTTTTTCCAGTTAGGAAAAAATGGCGTCAGAAAAAGAGAGTTTAATTTGTTCTCTCAAGATTTCCTGTTTCATTGTAGGTTAAACCTAACTCAAAGAAGTCACTCTCTGACCCCTATTATTAAGAACCATAGCACCCGCAGGTGCTTCCTATCTCTGTCAAAAATAAAGACTCTGTTGTGAGCTACTAACTGATTTCTAACTTCCATTCTATCCTGTGCTAATATATTGTGTTTCTGGTTCTTGCTTTAAGTGTAACTTCTCAGGGACATTGCAAATCCCCCATTTTATTTTTATTTTTTAACCACTTTTGTTACAGGTGCACCATGTACCCATTACAATAATAACAAAGCATCATGGAATGTATCCTTAAGAAGCAGATGCAATATTCTGAGCACCTTGATCATTTATCAAAGTAACCCTAAACAGGGTGAAATAATTGTAGTTTTTGTATATGATTAATTGGCCTAGTGAAATAAAATTTGTAAACACGAACCAATATGTACATTTAAGACACCCATACACCTCAGTTGTAGGATCCTATACAGACCTTTTTTTGTAAGTAAGATACACTCAGCTTCCACTGATATCAAAAGGAACTGAAGGGACTCATATGTACAACTGATGCTACGCAAGACAGGGCTTTAAAAGAGCAATATATTATGAAGTACTGTAATGTAAACTCAAGTTGGGCACAGAGATAATTAATTTAACATTAACTGGAATCTGATTTTCAGTGGATGTCAGCTGACCCAAGACATAGTGTCTTGTGTATGGTGATAACCATGCCAAAGTCAGGCCCGCTGACAGTAGGGGGCGAAGGATGTAACTGCCCCAGGGTTCAATGATTCTAAAGGGCCCAGGGCTCCTGGAGGGTACTGTAGAATTGCTGCTGGAGCATCACTCATTGTGCTCCAGAACCCACAACACATACTCTGACCAGCTCTGAGGACTAGTTGGGGGAAATGCTGGGCCATCTGGGTGGCACTTGAAGGGCTGGCTGTCCGTCCCAGCCCAGCCCCTTCTGCCTGAGGCCCCACCCTTTCCAGAAGTACAGAGCTGTAGTTCCCTCCCTGCAACCACTCAGAACTCTAGGACCAATAGTGTTTCAGAAGATTTGCACAGGATTTAATGTTGTAGAGCTTAGTCTAGCTGGATGCTAACTAAATATATAGACAAATAACTTGGTA